CTAGGCGGCTTCCAAATATAAAATCAAATAATAAAACATAGACAAATACATAATAATCAAACAAGAACAGCAGTAAAAGTAAAAAGGAAAAGTAAGGAAAAAATCAAGAGTTGGCTGGAGGGAAGGCCTGAATAAACAGCCGTGTTTTTAATTGAGTTTTAAAGGTGCCCAGCGTGGGGGCCGCGTGAATTGCCGGAGGGAGATTGTTCCAGAGGCGAGGAGCCACCGCCGAGAAGGCCCGGTTTCGTGTCTTCTCCTTCCGGGCCTCTCTCGGCGTCAAGCTCCTCAGCCTCACCTCCTGACTCGCACGGGTGATCCGGGTAGACCTTGGTGGGAGGAGGCGTTCCGCCAAATATAGAAGCAGGGTCTCCAAATCCTGCAAGGTACTAGTTCCCCCTCTCTTCAGCACTGGTTAGGCCTCATCTTGAGTTGTGTGTCCAGTTCTGGACACCGCACTTCGAGAAGGATGCTGACCAATTGGAACACATTCAGAGGAAGGCAACAAAGATGATCAGGGGTTGGAACTGGGCATGGTTAGCCTTGAGAAAAGACGACCGAGGGGAGAGAGGAGAGCACTTTTCAAAGACTTGAAAGGCAGTCCTACAGAGGAGGGTCAGGATCCGTTCTCGATCATCCCAGAGCGCAGGACACATCATAATGGGCTTGCGTTACAGGAAGCCAGATTGAGGCTGAATATCAGGAAAACCTTCTTAACTGTTAAGAGCAGTACGGCAATGAAACCAAATGACCTCGGGAGGTGGTGAGCGCTCCAACGCTGGAGGCCATCAAGAAGAAAGAGGACACTCATCTATCAGGTCTGCTTCGATTTAAACTCCTGCCTTGAGCACAGGATCGGACTCGATGGCCTTAGAGGCCCCCTTCCAAATCCATGATTCTATAACCCCAAGTATTAGGCAAGGATTTTTGCATTTGATGCATCAACGGGTAAAATCTGCAACAGCTTCATGTGTTCCAGATTCTGGATTTACAAGGACTTCCTCCCACAGTGGCCTCAAACAACCTGGCACTTTTCTCCGCTGCAGATGGGGATAACGAAAGTCGGGCCCAGCCAACTGGAGGGTGCCAGGGAACGGGGAGCTGTCCTTGACACAAGAGCATCAAGAGGATGGTCCTTGGTGATTGAGTTGATTTCCCTCACAGCTGCTGATTCCATTCCCACCAGGCAAGAAACAGCGGTGGAAAGGTGTAAATGCTCCTGCTGCCTTTTCCTATCCTGTGGCTGCAGAGTCCAAAGAAAGAACTCGGAGTCCAACAGGCTAGCAAGCTTGAGAAAGTGGTCATGAGAAACCACATTGCCTGGCCCTTGGGTACTTCCAGAGAGCCACTGCCTTCCTTCACTCCCACGGCATTCCTAGATTTTTAAGTCTGAAAATAATTATACTTCCCTGTGTTGGCTTATTTAGGCTCAGGTTGAGTTAAACAGAAGACTGATCTTCTTACTCTAATGATGACGGAAGAAGCTGGAAAAGCAGAGTGAGCTTGGATTTAAAAGCAGCAAAGTTACTAACTGTAACACAGGAGAGTTTCAAGACCATGAGGATATGTCCAAATGAACCTCTTTAGTACTAGCAGAAGGTTGTGCGGCTCTACATGGAACAACTGGCTACCATAATTGGATTAACATAAGCAGGCTGAGCCAGAGAGCATAATGCTTTGCACATCTGGAAGGACAAAACATCCAGAGCAAAGGGAGGTAATTTGCTTGGTGTAAAAGACACATGCGGAAAATTCAGATCTTGGAGGCTAAGGGGAAAAAAAGATTGATGGATTCAAAATATGGTGCTGGAGGAGCGCTTTGTGGGTGCTCTGGACTTTTCCAGACAGACAAACGAGTAGGTCTTAGATCAAATGAAGCCTCATTTCTCTCTAGAAGCAAAAAATAAAAATAAAAAAAATGAAGAAACTGAGGCTGTCCTACTTTGGGCACATCCTGAGAAGGCAGAATTCTCTGGAAAAGACAAGAATGCTGGGAAAGGTGGAAGGGAAAAGGAAAAAGAGCCTCGTGGCGCAGTGGTTAAAACGCTGTACTGCAGCTAAAACTGTGCTCACGACCTGGGGTTCAAATCCCAGGTAGCCGGCTCAAGGTTGACTCAGCCTTCCATCCTTCCGAGGTCGGTAAAATGAGTACCCAGCTTGCTGGGGGGGCAATGTGTAGCCTTTATAATTAAAATTGTAAACCGCCCGGAGAGTGCTTGTAGCGCTATGGGGCGGTATATAAGTCCAATAAATAAATAAATAAATAAAAAGAGAAGTTACTTACCTGTAAATATGGTTCTTCGAGTGGTCCTCTGTGAATGTACACCAATGGGTTTTACTGCGCCTGCGCAGGACTCCTCGGAATCTTCTAGAGCAGTGGTCCCCAACCTTGGGCCTCCAGATATTCTTGGACTACAACTCCCAGAAGCCTTCGCCGATACCTTTGCTGGCCAGGATTTCTGGGAGATGAAGTCCAAGAACATCTGGAGGACCAAGGTTGGGGACCACTGTTCTAGAGCTTAAAACATGTGATTAGTAAGACGTTCCCCCATGGTGCGCATGCGCCACCCTCCTGTAATTGCCTCAGTTCCGATCATGCCCGTCGCTGTCAAAGCTCTGAAGACCCAAGACA